GAGGAGCAGGGAAACTTGGCTCCTCCTCCTCCTCTTCATTCTCGCCCCAAGTGGAGGGCCTCCTGGACCGTTGCAGTATTAAAGGCATGTTGCCCTCCTCCGTGCGGTGCTCGAGGCGAAGGAGAGATCGGGGCTGGAATGTCCCGATGGTTCCAATAGCCCAGCAAAGTGTTCTAAGCATCCCTCCCCGCGGTGTCCTGGAGGGCGGTGGGGGAGAAGGAGGAGAAGGAGGCGGAGGAGGAGAGGAACGAGGACGAGGACACGGAGGAAGAGGAAGAGGAGGAAGAGGAGGAGGAAGAGGGAGGAGGAAGAGGAGTAGGGCGAAGGGGAAGATGAGCAGCACAAGAGGAGGAGCGAGGAGAAAGGGGAAGGAGTAAGAAGAGCAGCAGGAGGGAGGGGGAGGGAAGGAGAGAGTGAGGGAAGGTGACGAGGATGAGGAGAGGAGGACCACTGAACCACTGGCGGCGCGGCAGGGAGGAGTGATCTATCCAGTTGCATGCGGCAAGTCCTGCCGTCGTGCGCCAGCCCGGCACCGAATGTGGCGAACGAGAGTAAGCCACAACGCGTGACACACCGCGTGCCCCGAGGCTTTGAAAGAGCCGTAACATGTGACATGCTCATCCGTGTCGTGTTGGTGTTGGAACGAATACGCAGATGGGTAGATTGGCGATCATAATGAGTCGAAGGAGAGGGAGACAGACGAGAAGGAGGAGGAGGAGGAGACGATGAAGATGCCAGTGGCGGGCGAGGGTGATTAAAATCGTGATGACGATGATGATGATGATCATGATGATGATGATTATGATGATGACGATGGTGATGATGATGATGATGATGATGATGGTGATGATGATGTTGATGATGGTGATGGTGATGGTGATGGTGATGATGATGATGATGATGATGATGATGATGATGATGGTGGTGAAGATGATGCTGATGGTGACGACGGCGGTGATGGTAATGATAGTGATGACGAAGGTGCTGCTGAGAAGAAGGAGGAGGACGGCCGTCACATGTGACACCGCTTGTCTTCACTTCTTGTGGATCTCTCATGGAGCTTCTTTCTGCCGTTTTGGTGTCATCTGGGAGGCATCTAGGCTCGCCTGGAGCTGAAGGAAGCCCTAAAAGATGAAGGCGCCCAAATATTTGAAAGATTTTCGGATAACCAATCTTATTGGCTTCTTCAGGCCGTACTTGAGTCCTCTTGTGGCCCTCTTGCTTGGACCGTCTTGGAAGCCGTCTCGAGACCATCCTGCGCCGCCTGGAGGCATCTTTGGCAGTCTTGGCGGCCTCGGTTGCATGCCTCGGCCGTGTTGGAAGCTCGATCGTGGCCTCGGGAGCGCGAACTTACAGATGCTGGCCACGAACCGTGGCCTTGTCGGCGTGGACCCACTGCTGCTCCAACAGTGCTTGCACTTGGCGGCTCTCACTGGTGCTATAGGGCAGCTGGGCCTGGCGCGGGCCGCCCGGCTCGTCGCCGCCCGTCGCCGCCCTGGCTGGGGCCCCAGAGCCGGTTCGGCCGGCTCCGTCGCCGCCCGTCGCCGCCCGTCCGTCGCCGCCGCTCGCACTGGGCCCTGGTGCTGTTTCGGCTGGCTCGTCGCCTCCTTCTCCTCCTCCTCCTGCTCCTCCTCCTCCTCCTCCTCCTCCTCTCCTCCTCCTCTTCCTCCTCCTCCTCCTCCTCCTCCTCCTCCTCCTCCTCCTCCTCCTCCCCCTTCCTCCTCCTCCTCCTCCTCCTCCTCCTTCTCCTCCTCCTCCTCCTCCTCCTTCCCGTCGCCGCCGTCCGTCGCTGCCGCCACTTGCGTTCGTCCACTCGCACTCGTCCACTCGCACAGCATGGCACAGCATACCACAGCATAGCACAGCACGGTGCAGAAGGGCAAGGCGTAGTGTAGAGAGTGGCATGATGCAAGCAGCGTGGTTCAGCTGAAGATTGCGCCGCATCGACTGCGTTGCGGAGATTGTCCCGCATTGATTGGCACTGCATGGATTGCACTGCATAGATTGCACTGAGTAGGCTGGATCGCACACATCACATCGCAGAGCATGCTAAATCACACTGTTTGGGGTCCGCGGTGGCTGGCATATTCACTACCAGGGATCGTGGCCTCGGGAGTGCGGATCCGTAGTTCTTAAGAGTGGACGGGCGGCGCGGTGCACGCCACTGGACGCTGCAAGATTTGTTGGCTTAAAGTCAGGCAGCCCATGGCATTCTACCGCGCCTCGACGTGCCAGGGAGCAAGGTGTCAGGCAAATAGCAGTGGCGAAGCGTCCTAGCTCGCCTATAGGCCTACCAAAGAATGTTCTAAGAACCTTTTGTGATTTGCACGAAATGTTCTTAGAACATTTCTGGCTGGGACCTACCAAAGAAATGCTCTTAAAACTTTGTTTTTCCCCGATCATAGGGAAAAAAGAACAATGGAGGCGGAGGTGGGACCGACGAAGGGGGAGGCGTGGGAGCAGGAGGAGACGAGAGGGGCACGCCCCATGGGGCGGTGCACACAGCTTGCCCGCCCCCCCTCCCCCCCATCCACCTGCCACTTCTCGTCCTGACTTTCCTCCTGATCCTCCTCCTCCTCCTCCTCCTCCCCCTCCTCCTCTCCTTCCTCCTCCCTCCCTCCTCCTCCTCATCATCATCAGCATCATCAGCATCAGCATCATCATCAGCATCAGCATCATTATCATTAACACCATCATTAACCATCATCACTATCGATCCTCGTCCTAGCCTCATCCCTGCGCATGCTCTGCGCGTCGTCCTCCACCACCTCCTCGTCCTCCTCCTCCCCCTCTCCCGCCACCGCCTCATCCTTCGTCTCCTCACGCTGCCACTGATGATCCCTCCCTCCGCCCAGGCCTACCGGTGCATGGGGCTCGTCGTGGCCCCTGGCGGCCTGGGCACTTGCGACGAGCTGTTCGAGCTGTTGACCTTGATGCAGACGGGCAAGATAAAGAGGCCGCGCCCTGCTGCCTCCCCATGGCCCTCCTCCCCCTCCTCCTCCTCCCCCTCCTCCTCCCCCTCCTCCTCCACCTGCTCCTCCTCCTCCTCGTCCTCCTCCTCCTCCTCCTCATCATCATCCCCATCCTCGGCGACTCAGCGATGTGGACAGTCGTGTCGAACGAACGACCGAAGCCCTCGAGCCCCCCCCCTCCGCGGCCTGCGGGGAGATGGCAGAACACGAGCCACGAGGTACACGAGGGAGAAGAGCAGGGGAGGATGGATACTTGCGACGATGGAAAATGATGATAACGACCGTGCACCAGGGAGGGGGGAAAGGGAGGGGGGAAGTTGGGAGCGCATGCCTCCTCCTCCTCCTCTTCGTCCTCCTCCTCCTCTCCTCCTCCTCCTTCTCCTCCTCCTCCTACTCCTCCTCCTCGTGCTTCTGCCTCGTTCGGCACACACACACACACACACACGCGCGCCCAGAGGCCGCCCCTTCCTTTCTTCTGCCTGCCTCTTGGGGGTAGCAGGGGCAAGGCAGTTGATAGAGCACAGCTTCCGCGCTCATGCCACCGCCCCCTGCCCCATCCCCTCTCCCCAGATTTCTTCGGCGGCGAGCGAGGGGGGGGAAGTGAGAAGGAGAAGGCCTTCTCAGAAGGGTCGGAGGTCCCCCAGCCTTCTGAGGAGCTTTCTGAGCTTTCCCCGAAAAAAAAGAAACCTGTTCCAGAAGCTTCCAGGGCTTCTGAGAAGTCCCGCCGCATTCTGAGAAGGCCTTCCCCTCCTCACGTTCCCCCCTCGCTCGCCGCCGATTTCTCTCGTCGCGGAAAGCCGCGACCGCTGGGTCTTCGCAGCCTCGGCCTCCAGGGGCCTCCTTTGGAGGGTTTCTCCGAAGGGCTTAGGCGACCCGTTCTCTCCTCCTCCTCCTCCTCCTCCTCATCCTCCTCCTCTCATCCTCCATCATCCTCATCATCATCATCATCATCATCATCATCATCATCATCATCATCATCATCATCATCATCATCATCATCATCATCATCATCATCATCATCATCATCATCATATCATCATCCATCATCATCCTCATCCTCCCCTCCTCCTCCTCTCCCTCCTCCTCCTCCTCCTCCTCATCCTCCCTCCTCATCCTCCCCCTCCTACTCCTCCTCCTACCCTACTCCTCCTCCTACTCCCCTCCTCCTCCTCCTCCTCCTCCCCTCCCCCTCCTCCTCCTCCTCCTCCTCCTCCTCCTCCTCCTCCTCCTCCTCCTCCTCCTCCTCCTCCTCCTCGGGTCGCCTACGGCCCTGGGGGGAAACCGTGCACCCTCCTTCGGGGCCCGAAGGAAGAAGGCGAACGGCAGCCACCTCCGGGGCGAAGAACAAGCGCGGTAGGGATGGGGGTCGAGGGGGGCTCCCACCGCGGACGAACAAGTCGCGACGCCAGAGGTTCCTGGGGGTCCTCCCCCCTAGGCTTAAGTCGGGCGTGTCCCTCTACAGAAAGAATCAGTCAAAAGATCAGTCTGGGGACGATTTTTCTAGTATTTGTTTGTTCTTTTGGGGTATTATCCTGATGCCAGAGGTCTGGGGGTCCTCCCCCATCGGCCTAATTCGGGCGTGTCCCTCTACAGCAGGGATATCCAAGAGTAGTAGCAAAATACTCGGGGTTCAATTTTTTGGCTAATTTGGACTATTTTTGAATATTTGTTGGGAATGTTCCATTTGTCGTCCAAAATCCGCCTGTAGGGGGACATGCCCGACCTAACCCTAGGCGCCCAGGTGGGTCTGGAACAGATGTGGTCGGAGAATCGCGCCGCCATACAGAGCACTGTTTGCGTCGTCCGTCGTCCGTCGTCGTCGTCGCGGTTTGCGTCGTCCGTCGTCCGTCGTCCGTCGTCGTCGTCGTCGTCGTCGTCGTCGTCGTCGTCGTCGTCGTCGTCGTCGTCGTCGTCGTCGTCGTCGTCGTCGTCGTCGTCGTCGTCGTCGTCGTCGTCGTCGTCGTCGTCGTCCTCCTCCTCCTCCTCCTCCTCCTCCTCCTCCTCCTCCTCCTCCTCCTCCTCCTCCTCCTCCTCCTCCTCCTCCTCCTCCTCCTCCTTCGCCCTCGCGTATAGCCGATGCAGCGGCCGATGCGGCGCCATCCTCCGGCCCCCCGTGCTCCGGCCCCCTGCGGTCGGCCCTGCCTCTGCCCGGCGAGCACCCTCGCGCCCCCCGCCCCCCGCGGGAGAGGCCCGAGGCCCGACCCACGGCCAGGCTAGGAGGAGGAGGAGGAGGAGGAGGAGGAGGAGGAGGCTAGGAGGAGGAGGAGGAGGAGGAGGCTGCGGATGGCGTTGCGGATGGCCTCGCGCCGTGTCGGGCGAAAGGGGGGGATTGGGAAAGGGGGGGTTACGAAATTTGCTGCATGCAGCTGGTTTCGGCCTCACCGAGGGGCCCATTCCTCGATACATAGCCGCCTCCGGCGCCGGGAGGCGCCGGGAAAATCAGCTACGTGAGCTGATTCTCAAACCCCCCCTTTGCTATCCCCCCTTTCGCCCGACCCACGGCCAAGCGCACAAGCTGCGGATGGCGTTGCGGATGGCCTCGCGCCGTGTCGGCGCGGCGGCGGCCACAGCGCGAGCGTTCTCTGCGGCACGCCGCGGGGGGTCGGCCGGCAGCGAGCGCCCCGCGCCATCAGAGAGCCAGGACCGCTCGAGGTCTCGAGCGGCCCGCGTGGCGTCGGGAGAGAAGGAGGAGGAGGAGGAGGAGGAGGAGGAGGAGGAGAGGAGGAGGAGGAGGAGGAGGAGGAGGAGGGGGAGGAGGGAGGAGAATAGGGAGGAGGAGGAGGAGGAGGAGGAGGAGGAGGAGGAGGAGGAGGAGCCCAGGTGGCCGCCGCCCGAGGGTGCCGCAGCCGGTGCCGGCGCGGGCGCCCGCGACACGGGCCGCCGCCGTGCTGAATCTCCGTCCTCGGGCGCTCTCTCAGCGGGCGCTCGGCGCGGGCGCCAGCCCGCGGTCTCGCCTGGCGGGCAGAGAGCGGTTGCGCGAGGCACGCTTTCTACGTCGGGCAGGTCCCTCCACGGGGAGGAGACCCCAGAATATTAAAAAAAACGCAGTCTGGCGACGGATCGCCGTGCTCCTTCTGGACCGCTGCTGTGGATGAGACTGGTTGGCGATCTTCATCTGTTCTGCGAAAATCCGCCTGTGGGAGGACATGCCCGACCTGAGGTTAAGTTGGGCCTGTCCTCCTACAGGGGGATTTTCGACGAAAAAAAAAAGACCCAAGAATAGTCAAAAAACAATCCAAAAATAGTCTGGGGGCTATTTTTTGAGTATTCTTTGACCCTCTTGGGGTATTTTGGGGGTATTTTTTTATTTTTCGCCGAAAATCCCCTCTGTAGGGGGACAGGCCCGACCTGAGGCTCGGCTCCGCCTCCGGGGGGCGCGGGGCCTGCCCCCGAGAGGGGGGGAGGGGGAGCGGTCGCGCGCCTCCGAGGAGCGGGCGCGCCCTCTCGAGGCGGCGGGGGGCGGCCGCGGCGTGCGGCGGGAGGGGCGCGCGGGGGAGGGGCCGAGCTCCGAGGGCGCTCCTCGGAGGCGAGCGGTCGAGCTGTGGGGTCAGGTCGGGCGTGTCCTCAATGGCGGGTTTTGGAAGGAAGACAACGGATAGTCTACATATATATATATATATACACACATACATGTCTATATATATATATATACATATACATATACATCTACACACATACATATATAGTATGTTATGTTTGTACGTGTATGCATTTAAGAACTAGAGGTTCCTTGACTACTGTTTTTATAAATATTTGTTTAACCAGATACACATATAATATATACTATAACAAATGATTATGGTTTGACTATGTGTTGATATTCCTCCTGTAGGGGGATATGCCCGACTTAACTGTAGGGCAGCTGCCGCGAGGCGCGGGGGAGAGGCGGCTCCAGGCACCCTCCAGTTCGTCCCCTCCCTCCGCCTTCCTTTTCCAGCGGCATGCTGTCAGCGGCACGGTTGGCAGGAAAGGTACTCCTATGTGTTCCCCTCCTTTCTCGCCCTTGTTTCTCCTCTCCCAGCCCTCCGATCCACCTCCCTCTCTTCCTGCCTACCCTCTTCTCCCTACCCCCCATCCCCGAAACACTTCCCTTATCCCCTTCCTCCCCACATCCACCCACCCCTCCTCCTTCTCCTCCATCTCATCCTGTGGTGGAGCTCGGGGCAGATAGGCTCAGAGTTCATCGCAGTAGCTCAGGGCTTGAGCCGCTTCTTTTCAGACATTGTCTTCGATGAAATTGAACACACGAGTTTGGCGCAAATCATGTTTTACATGTTTGACTACCACGTGTCGGGCTCGCTGGACGTGCCTTGATGTGGCAGTACGTTCGTGCATTCGGTGACTGCGAGCTTTGCTTCTTTCCAGACCTCGAGTGGAGATTGCTTCCCGGGATTCACTTCGAGGGATGCACGCACATCCGCAGCGGCCGGAGGGCCACCTCGAGCGCAGTACTCCCTCGAGCGGCCAGGTGGGAAGCGTGCGTGTAGATGGCTGCACGTCTGCCCGGCGAGGCTCTTGGATCTTGCCTTTGTTTGAGGTTTGGCGGCGCCAGATCTGTGATCAGGGCGGATCCCGGGCGCTTGTTAGAACAGGGCGTTGTCGTTTTGTTTTACGAGAGGCTTATGTTCCAGATCATACATAAAATCAACTAAAAGAACAGCAACACGAAAAAATGTGTTGTTGTTATGTATAGATGGGTATATGCATAAACAAAAACATAACACCTTAAAGACAAAAAAACGCAAAATAGTTATAACAGGGCATATGTTTCAAACAGGGCGCTGTTTTTGCGAGGCCATGAGCAGGCACTCCACATCCCTCGCGCACGGCCAGCTTACATGCTGCTCTGGCCCACGGGCCGCGCTGGGCCCCCGCCAGTGCTGATTGTTGCCTGCGGCGGCCAGGCGATGGTGCGAGCGCGCAGTGGTGAGCACGAGCCGAAGCAGGAGACTCTGCACAGGTATGATAGATGTCTGGAGGTCCGCGCGGACTTGCGAAAGTTTATGTGCACGCCAGTGCTTCTTCTTCCTCGTCCTCCTCTTCTTCTTCCTCGTCCTCCTCTTCTTCTTTTGCTAGTTCATCTTTTTCTTCTTCGTATTATTAGTTGTGGTAGTAGTATCCTCATTCATAGTTGTAGTAGTAGGAGTAGCAGTGCTAGTTGTAGTACTGGTAGTAGTAGTAGTAGTAGTAGTAGTAGTAGTAGTAGTAGTAGTAGTAGTAGTAGTAGTAGTAGTAGTAGTAGTAGTAGTAGTAGTAATAGTAGTAGTAGCAGTAGTAGTAGTAGTAGTAGTAGTAGTAGTAATAGTAGTACTAGTAGTAGAGTAGTATGTAGTAGTAGTATCGTAGTCGTAGTGTGGTAGTGTAGTGGTAGTCGGTAGTGGTAGTAGTAGTAGTAGTAGTTAGTGAGTAGTAGTAGTAGTAGTAGTAGTAAGTAGTAGGTAGTAGTAGTAGTAAAAAGTAAAAAGCTAATAGTATGTAGTTATTAGTATGTAGTAGCAGCAGCAGCAGCAGTCAGTAGTCAGTAGTCGTAGTTTAAAGTGATAAAAGTAAGCCGTAAGTAGTAGTAGTTGTGGTGTAGGTTCGTAGTAGTGTAGTAGTAGTAGTATAGTTAGTAGTAGTAGTAGTAGTAGTAGTAGTAGTAGTAGTAGTAGTAGTAGTAGTAGTAGTAGTTAGTAGTAGAAGTAGTAGTAGTAGTAGTAGTAGTAGTAGTAGTAGTAGTAGTAGTAGTAGTAGTAGTAGTAGTAGTAGTAGTAGTAGTAGTAGTAGTCAGTAGTAGTAGTCAGAAGTAGTAGTAGCAGTAGTAGCAGTAGTAGTAGTAGTAGTAGTAGTAGTAGTAGTAAGTAGCAGTAGCAGCAGTAGTAGTAGTAGTAGTAGTAGTAGTAGTAGTAGTAGTAGTAGTAGTAGTAGTAGTAGTAGTAGTAGTAGTAGTAGTAGTAGTAGTAGTAGTAGTAGTAGTAGTAGTAGTAGTAGTAGTAGTAGTATTCCCACCCCTCTTCCTGGGGGCGGGAGGCCCTTGCCAGTGGTCCTGATAGGCAAGAAGTTCTGGAAGGACCGCCGGCGCCGTGCTCTCCGCCTCGCCCTGCATGCGGCTCCGGTGCGCGGAGTTGCGGTCAACGCCCATCCCCCTTCCCTCTCACCTCCTCTCCACTCCCCTCCTCCCCCCCCCCTCCTCCCTCCAACCCCACCCCCCGCCTCCTCTCCTCCTCTCCCCACCCCACCCCCCCTCTCCCCCTCCTCCTCTCCACTCCCCCCTCCCCCACCCCCCTCTCCTCTCCTCCCGATGACATGGTTTTCCCGGCCCCCCCCCCCTTTCACATCACCTCATCGGCTTCTTCATCCTCCTGCTCCTCCTCCCCCCCCTGATCCAGGCGGCGCAAAGCAGTCGCGAAGGCAGGCTCTCTCGTGCGTTCGCCCTCTGGATGCCGTGTCCCTGCCCCAGGACCGTTCAGTTAGTCGGAATGGGAAGCGGGTCCCCAGGAAGAGGTAGAGATCCACGGGAAACGCGTCGCGAAGAAATCACGCTGACGAGGGAGAGGGTCATTTTCCTCCTATCCCAGGCAGCTCACCCGTCCATGTGCCTTCTCTTCTGCAGCTGGCTCTATCGCCTTTTTGGCAGGGTTCACTACGAAAGGCCCGTCGCGGTCGCTTCTGGGCCCGACTGCGAACGTATTACCCAGTAGCTGGTGATGCGCACAACACACTAACTGTGAAGCAGAAACGCCATGGCTGCTTGAAGGATCTACGACCTACGCCTATGCCGCTCCATGACAGGCTCCAGCCAGCCAAGGGGATGCCTCACGTTCTGGCCCACAGTCCAGTTGTGCTGTGTCTTGCTCGCTGGGCAAATGTTAGATAGGTCGCAAGTGCGGACATGCCACGAGCGCAAAAGGCCGCCGTGGTTGTTGGCGCAGTGTTCCGTGAAGCCAGCAGGACTGCATTCAGTGGGATGCGTTCGTGAACTACGGTATGATATCGGACCAGGACGCGGATCAGTTGAAGTTTGCCGACACTGCAGAAGAAGCCATGCAGTGGCCTGCTAAGCGGCCCATGCTTCGCTACATGTGCACATGGTTCGTCTGCTAACTGGGGGCGGGGCACTGTGTAGCTAGTGACGTGAGTGAGTGGCATAGAACGACATCCAACGAGTCCCGACGCCTCGCATATCTCCACCAGCCCATCCAGAAACGATTCCCAGTCGAGTTGTCGTGAGATGGACTGCGGGGGGGCCCTCTTGGGGCTCTGTGGGGGCCTTCGGGGCAATCCCCTGAAGACCACCTACTTGGAAAAGGAGTCCGCAATTTGTTCTGCCCATATGGCGCCCAAAGCATCACCTCTTGGAGTGCTCCTGGAGGCCTTTGAGGCTATCTTGGGGCCCGTCTTGGAGCTCTCTTGGAGAGTGTTGGGGAATGGGGGGGGCATCTTGAGGCCTCTTAAACCATCAGAGAAGGCAATAAGGAGAAACCCATTGAGAAACTTCCGGTTATTTGACGATTTGGGCGCCTCCTTCGGAGGCTCCATGGCCACCGCGGGCCGTATGGCGGAGGTCTTGTGACTTCTTAGAGGCATGTTGGAGGCCATCATGAGCCAAAGCGGGCCATCCTGCGCGATGTTGAAAGCATCTTCGTCTACCAGAAAACGGCGTTTGAGTTACTTATGGCGATATTGGACGCTCCTTCCCTTGCGACCCTCTTGCCCAGCCCCCCGGGAAAACTCCCTCGATGTAGCGGTAGCGGTATGGCCGGACGAAGTTGGACAAGACAAGACAGGCCTCCAATATTGTGTCTGAGGGGCCGTGATGGCCCAAGCCCAAGATGGTTTCCAGCATGGCTCGCAAAGGCCCCCAGGTGGCCCTGGGGTGGCCCGAAAGCATCCTAGGGATATCCCCAGGAGGTCAAAGCCAGTGAACTGCACATGTATGTGACGACTGCTGCATTTTCACCATGTCGGCTTCTGGTGAGCCTGTGAGCCTTCAAATGGCTGGAGAGAGACCCAGAAGGGCCCGAAAGAGGGCCCTGGAAATTTCCAAGAGCACCCCAAGAGAGCCCTAAGAGGGCTCCAAGAGGCCCCTCCAAAGCCTTCACATCCGAGGCCAGGTCCGAGAGGAGTTCCCACACGCGCCTCACAAAAAAGAACGAAAGACGGCTCCAAGGGCGTGAAAAGGCCCCACCAGGGGTCCAACAGGGCCCGAGGGTACTGGAGGATGACGATTAATAAATGACCGGGGGTCGTGTTCACGCGGCGTCGCCCGGGGTGACGATTAGAAATAACCGGCCGCGGGCTGGAAAACTATGTTTTAAATCGTTCTCCTTGAGTCGGAAAATTGTACAGAAATAGCCGGAAACTATGTTTGAATCGTTCTCTCCCATTTTTTTTTAATCGTCACCCCGCATTACCCCAAACGAGTTCGAAAAGGTTAGCAGGAGGCCCACCCGCCCTCGACAACGGAGGCGGCGAAGCGACGAGGACTTTGGTCCGCGGCTCGTCCTTCGCCCCGCGGTTCGCCGGGGGCGGCCGCGGCGCCCTATTGCCAGCCGCGCCTCCGTTCCACGGGCGAAGGTGGCAAAGAGGGAGGAGGAGGAGGAGGAGGAGGAGGAGGAAGAGGAAGAGGAGGAAGAGGAGGAGGAGGAGGAGGAGGAGGAAGTGATGACTAGGGGGGGGGGATCTCATGGCGGGGGCCATGATATCTCCCCAGACTCCATGGCGCCTCTTCTTGTCTCGTCACGTCCCTGGCCCCCCCCCCCGCTGGGCCGCGCGCGTGCCGCCGGGCACGAGTTGCGCCCCCCCCCCCTCTTGGACGCCCCATCTCCCTGGCCGCCCCCGACACGGGCAAAGGGTGGAGGTGCTGCGGTGTCCCTGCCCCATCGAGGCGGGTCCGCAGCGGGATGTGGGCGTCTTCTTCTTCGGCGTCTCGACCTCGGGCGGCAGGGGGGGGGGCGGCAGGGGGGAGGAGAGCTCCGGCCCTCTGTTTGGCGCGACGGTCTGCGGCAGTGCGTCCCGTGGGGGAGGCTCCGCCTGCTCTCGAAGCAGGCGCCAGAAGCATTAAGTCGGGCCTCTCCCCCTACAGGGGGATTTTCGACGAAAAATAAAAGATACACCGAAAATACACAAAAAAAACACAAACACAAAAAAAAAAAAAAAAAAAAATGTCTGGGGACTATCTTTTTAGAATGTTTTGGCCCCTTCGGTGCATTTTCGGGGTATTTTTTATTTTTCGTCGAAAAATCCCCCTGTATGGGGGACAGGCCCGACATAACAGAAGCAGCCAAGATCTACTCCGGGGGGGGGGGGGGGCGAGGGCCCGCGCCGATCGGCAAGACAATGAATAGAAAAACGTTCACTATCTCCCTTGGCGACAACAACACCAGTGTAGGATGGGTCTGGCAGGTCCCCAAGACTGCCCAAGACGACAAGATAAGACCAAACGAGACAAGACAAGCCAGGACAGCCTCCAAGGCGGCCGGCCCACGACGGCCGCAGGGACCCCCAAAGGACCCTAACACAGGCCAAAGAGGGCCCCACGAGAGTCCCAAACAATGTCGAGTCTCCAAAAACCCAACAAGGTCAAGCGTCCTCGGCGCCAAGATCGCCCCAAGAGGGGCCCTGGACGCCCCCCGGCGCCCCCAAGTGGCCCTCTGAGAGGCCCCCCAGCGGCCCCCAAGAACCTTCGCTGGGTGGGGGGGAGCCGGAAAAACTCGGGAGAGGAGAAAGCAATCGTGACCACGAGCCGCCCAGATGGGCTCAGTACAGTGCCCTTTTTTTTATACATGCTCCGCGTGCGGATCATGTATGAAACATGCAGGGATTCGGCATTAAAAACAACGATGAGTTCATGCATACGTCTAGTCATAAATTGATCATGTATTAAAAACCATATATGTTTGGATATCCCATGTATTACAAACTGCCCTGTAGTGAAGGCTGGAGAGAGGGACGAAGTTGTCTCTTCCATCGGAGGTCGCCGCAGCTTGTCACACACTGCGACGTTGCTACCCGCGCGGCCACCGCAGCCCTGGGCGAGATGCTCGGAGTGGGCGCAGAAAGAGGGAGATTGAGAGAGAGAGGGGGGGGGAAAAAAAAAAGAGAGAGAGAGAGAGAGAGCGGGAAGTATGGGAGTAGGAAAAAAAAAGTAGTGGGAGAGAGGGGGAGAAAAAGGGGGAGGGAGGGAGAGCGCAAAGGGGACAAAGCAGTTACCGGGAGAGACGACTGCAACAATTCTGGGCGCGCGCGGTTTCCCGCCGCTTGTGGGCCGACGTGGACGGGAGAACGAACGAGGAGGAATCACCGGCCGAGTACAACCTACAGACCGACATGTTCAGCGATCATAGGACTAACGCCGCTGCGTCTGACCATAAACCATTTGCGGCTCGGGGCAGTTTCCAAATTCGCTCCACATTGTTTGGGGATGAGGGCGGCTTCGATAGTCTAAAAGGGAGAAGAAGAGGAGGAGGAGGAGGAGGAGGAGGAGGAGGAAAGGGAGGAGGAGGAGGAGGAAAGGGAGGAAAGAGGCGAGAGGAGGAGGAGGAGGAGGAGGAGGAGGAGGAGGAGGAGGAGGAAGAGGAGGAGGAGGGAGGAGAGAGGAGACAGGACAGAGGAGAGAGGAGAGATGAAAAGAGGCAAGCTAGGTGCGTTCGCGCCACATCTGACAGCCTACCCCTCCCGCACATCCCTTCTCATAACGTTGAGTGTTTCTATATCCGCCGACGCGTGTCGTAGCTGAGACGTTCCAAGAAGGACCCCGTCGTCTTATGCTTACTCAGAGAGAAAATAAAAGGGGAGGAGGAGGAGGAGGAGGTAGCGGAAGGGTAGGAGGATGAGCAGGAGGATTAACAGGAGGGGGGGGGAACAGGACGAACGGCAGCAGCAGAAATTAGAGTGGAAGGGGCGGGAGGAGAAGGAGGACTAGGGGAAGGCGGAGGAAAGGAAAGGACGGGGGCGACGAAACGCGCGGGGGCGACCAAACGCGCTGGAGTCACAGCAATATCCTGAACGACGGGAGAAAAGCGCCGATCCGAAAATGAGGCCCACGATGCAGCGGGAGGGCCAAGCTGGAAAAAACAGAAACGCTGGGGTTGAAAAACACCGTAATAATGATATACATATATATAATGATATATATATATATATATGTGTGTAAATTGCGCTGCTTAGTCAAAAGCAAACCAGAAACGGAAGATATATATATATATATATATATATATATATATATACCATATTAAATTTTCAAAAAAAAAAAAAAAAAAAAAAAAAAAAAAAAAAAAAAAAAAAAAAAAAAAAAAAAAAAAAAAAAAAAAAAAAAAAAAAAAAACGATATTATTTGTTGAAAGAAAATACGCGGAGGGGAGCGCGCCACTCACTCCAGATCTGACATTCTACCCCTCTCACAAATCCTTTTCTGTCGCGCTGAATGTTATTGCGTCCGCCAACTAGGGCGACCTAGATGACCTTGATCCCCAAATTAACCCCGCTGCACAATGCGCAAACCGAGGGGGGGAGAGGTCTTTGTACATTGGAAGAGGGGGGGCGAGGAGGAGGGGGAGGATGAGGAGGAAATGGAGGAGGAGCAGGTGGCGGAAGGGCAGGGGCATTAGCAGGAGGAGCAGGAGAAGGAGGAGGAAGAGGAGGATCAGCAGCTGCACGAGCGAGAAGAGTAGAAGGAGCAAGAGGACCAAGGGAGGGCGGAAGGGAGGAAATGACGGGGCCAGCAGACAAGATTGGAACCAGAAGCACATGTGGCGCCCGCTAGGGCGGGAGCGCCAGTCTGAACGATGCGGCTGAGTGCCGGTTCTGACATGTGAGCAGCGTTGCACTGGGGACATGATTTCTGAAAGGCCATATTGTAAGCGCTCCGATCGAAAAATCAGGAAGGCCAAATGTTGCATCAGATGGGTCAAAAACACTACGCAGGAGTGACGGCGGCAGCACCGCACAGCATCAGAGGAGAAAAGAGAGAGTGGCATTTTAGTGTTCATGCTGGGCGACTCCTCGCCATCCTTTCCCAAGTCCCCTCGCCAACGGCCCCTACATTCCG